TGAAAAAGAATCATCTCCCATTTATTGTTGACATGTGATGTTCTCATGGTCAGAAATGCTTGGTGTCGGGGAGCTCCCACCCAGAAACTACTCATTTACTGATAGTTACTTGGAAAAAATACAGAGGGAATAATGTTAGTTCAATAAATAATGGGAAAAAAAAAAAAAGCAGCAAAAGTAGCCATGTAGGTGTTTGTTTATGGGTGCATGTAGCTGCCAGAGGGAGAGCTTCCATCCCTCAAAACCTTAGTTTTATGTGTAATTGGTGACACCGAGGAGGAAAGTGTCTCAGTCCATGTAACTGCGCGGGCTGAGACTTCCGAGCCATTGTAATGAAAGGAAAAACAAACATCTGGAGCAGCTGTAGGTTTCAGGAAAAACTGGCACCTGAACCTGCCAGGAGGTAGCGAGTGCTTATTGTGGCCTTAACGTTACGCATCTCAATCTCTGGGTGCTTGGTAACCTCACGTGCAGTTCATACGGTTTTTCTACTAGATGAATAGCTGCTTATAAATGGGGAAAAAAGTCCTTTACAGCAGCCAGCATGCAATCAGATGTTGTCGACTTCATGAGCCAGGCTTCTTAGTCCTTCAGGTGCTTTTCTCCAGCTCTTGGCTCTGACCTTGCTGGGTAATCTGAATAATAAGATCACCTTCACGTCCCCGGCCACGCACAGAACTAATAGTGTCGTTTAGTTACCGGTTTAATGAGAAGAGCAATGTTAAATCTGTTTTTTGTTCTGTGTCTTTTCAGATGGAATTGAAACAAAAATCTTAACTGATCAACAGCTGATGATCATCGCCAAGTTGTTTGGTAGGCAGTGGAAAGAAATTGCCATTGAGTGTCTTCAGATGGAAATGAAAGACATTGAGCAGATTCAGGAAATGGAGGAAGAAGTTAATATGCAAAAATTTCTGTTGTTAAGCAAGTGGAGAGAGAGAGAGCAAGGCAACGGAACTGCAGAAGCTTTGCACGGAAGTCTCCAGGAAAAAGCGCCCTACGAGATACTCCAAGCCCTACAAGGTATCGCTTTCCCATTGTACTTACTTAGTTACATCAGCGCGTTACAGATATATTTTAAGAATTTGCATCAGAGTTCACTGAATACCTAGTACATGTTTCACTACATAGGTCAAAATGGTCTCTCTTCTGATATTAGCAATGACTTCCCTTCTTGTGGCAGTTCTATACTTCCCTTCAGAAACTGATATAAAATGAATAATATTTTTGCACCGGCTGTGTTGAGAGTACTCTCAGCATGACCTAGCCATCACAGCCAAGCCAGTCGGTGTTGTATACCCAAACCAATTCTTGGTTTTCTCAGGGAGTCCAAAGAGGAGATGTTTGGGTCTTTACTCTTATGTATTTTAGGAAGGGTTAATTAACACCTTCCCCTGATGGATGACTTCGCGGTTCGGTCCTGCAGCCGTGTGCATGTGTTGTTTCCTTACTGCCCACGGGTGCTCCCCCTGATTTCTGGGGGGCTCCTTATGTTCAGTTCATCCTGCGCATACCAGAGTTGTTCAATGGGCTGAGAACTCAACCAGCCAAGGGGAATCTTCCTTAAAAACGAATTTTTTTTTTTATTTTTTTGGAAACGGGCAAAGCTTTGCTCTTTCTTAACTCTCCCTAAAAGCACGGCTTCCACGGTTGGAGAGCTGCTTGTGCTCCCTTGCTCATCTGACCCTCCCAAACCTGTCTGCGCCGTAGCCTTGCGCTATCTTGTAGGCTTCTCGTGCGTTTATGATTCAACTTGAATATTGCAGTAACCTGTCGAGATCGGATAATCTGCGTGCCTTTGTGTGTGTTCCTTTCCTCAGGTTTCTTGGCTTAGTGCTGAGCTGGTGAAGCCACAGCTAGAAGGAGCGCGGCGGGAGCTTCCCTGGCCAGCCGTGACGCTTCTCCGGCCGCTTCCCCGGGATCTCGCTGAGATTCGGGAAGGGTGATGCAAGGCATCATCACTCAGCGGAAAGTTTAGGCAGGATCTTCTCCAGAAATGTGAATGAAATTTTGCGCGGATATAAGCACACGTAAGACGTTCAGGATCAATTACTCACGCGGTGGATCCCGGCATCGCGGCCGGGAGTGCCGAGCTTCGCGGACGGGGAAACCCAGCACTGCCACCCAGCTTTGTCTCATTTGAGCCAGTCCTAAAAGACATGAACGCTGGAAGAAACCAGTTTACCTTGTTCAGGTATATGATCCTTATCTGGAAACGTTTTTATTTACATCAGGGAAAATTATCCAGAAACTTTTGTCCCCTTAAAAAAAAAAAACAAACCACTATTGAACTGCCAAAATCATGAGGTATGTTTTATTTCTCACAGATGCCCAAGATCAGGGAAGAATCATCCTAAACTTGCAGATAAATTCCTCTGCATAATCACAATTTCTATACATAATTACTGTATATACTTGTGTACATTCAGTCCTTGTTAAGCTGTGGTTCTGTTTTCTAAAAACCCGAAGACTGGTGTCATGGGAGCACCACTATTAACTCCAGGCAGCTTTGAATTTTCTCTGGGAACTTTTTCACTCTTTTCTGTATAGTCTGCATCAATTTTTATGAGAGATGTTGTATAATTTTTTTTGTATTATGAACTATTTCTACTTTTTTTTTTACTTGATTAATTTTAATTTGAATAGAATTAGGTGCTTAAACAAAAAATGGGAGAGGCCAAAATCTCTGCAAAGGCTGTTACTCTGTCAGCAACGCACATACTGCAGAATTTTGAAAGATACGGAAATAGCCTTATGTGCAGAAGAGAGCAGCGGCCCAATATGGGAGATTTTCTTGTTTTTAAAGACACGGGGTTCTTTTGATCACCTTCCTCTGTGTAGGTTTATGAAAGAAAAAGCATACTTTTAAAAAATCAGGATTAAAAAGGAAACTTTTACACTATTTACGTGTGATTTCGGATTTTTTTTTTTTTTTTTTTTTATTTTTGCTGTTTAGGCTGTTGGATGAAATGTTGCAAGGTGGTTGTATGTTGTGGGCCATCATTCCAACCCTTGATGTTCCACTGCTACGTACGTCCCAGGGGGTGGTCGAGGAGAAGGGTTGTGTTGGTGGCCAGCACCTCGCGGGCTCTTCTGCCAATGGGGCAGGAAAAAAAAAAAAAGGTGTGGGAGGCAGGGAGGCTCGTGGGGGGCTCTCCATCACCAAGCAGAGCTGCCCTTGGCTCTTCTCTCTGGGACAAGCAAGGGCAAATTGCCATCGGGGGACCTTTAAGATACCCGATGCAGACAAATCTCTAATAGGACCCTCAGGTCAGAAGCAGACGTCAGTAAATCTAAGCTGGAAAGAAATAAGATGCTTATTTGTAATAACGAGGGTAACTGGATAGCGTAGCAGATGGTCACAAGAGATGGTAAGGTGTTCAACCCTCAGGTTCTTTAAATCAAAATCACGATCCTTTTAAAAAAAAAAAAAAAAAGTACATTGTATTTCTGTGGTCTTCAGTTTGGCTTTGTCCGGTTCTTGCAAGCAGAAGGAATTAAAATGTTACAGTTGCACGAGGTTGCTCTTACCTTGCAACTCGGTGTAATGGGCGGGTGGTCTGCGGGAGCCGGGAGTGTGGCTCTGGTCCCATTAGAAAGCTCTGAGAATGTGTAAGGTTACATTTTAAGAGCTGGTGTGGTGTGCGGGTAACCCCAATGCTTGGGGAAGAGGGGAGAGGATGAGGACGGCAGCTGTCCCCTCGGCGTTTGGAAGAGCAGGGGGTCCCACCAGCCCCTCGGCATCGAAGGGGGCTGCTTGAGGGTCCCCAAAGAGCTGGGAGGGCAGAGCTTGGAGAAACCAAGTGAGGGGAGAGAGCTGAAGAGCAAGATGCTGATGGGGTGATGAGAGGCAGTGAAGGCAGCGTGGGAGCTGGCTGGGACATGGCCAAAGTCATAGAATCACAATCGTTTAGGTGGGAAAAGACCTTTAAGATCATCCAGTCCAACCATTAACCCAACACTACCAAGTCCACCACTAAACCAATTAAGGGGAGAGTAGCAAGTTCATGTGTCCTGCCTTGGTGGCTGGATTATTTTTAATGAAAGTAAAAACTGGGAATCACTAAGGTTGGAAAGGCCCTCTAAGATCATCAGTCCAACCATCAACCCAACACCCCCATGCCCACTAAACCATGTCCCCAAGTGCCACCTCTGCCTGTTTTTTGAACACTGCTTGGCCCAGCACAGATCTGCCGAAGAGGGCGTGGACGCCTTCGTCTGGGCTGGCTCATACTGCTGGCAGGAGTTGGGAAGATAATCATCCCGGCATCCCTCCTGGCCTTCAAAGCTGCACATAAATCCTTGCCTCACTGAAACAATTTGGCCATTGATTTCGGTGGGGCCAGGATTTTACCCCGGAAACTATGTGGCTGGAAAATCACTGTAAATGAGGATGAAATCGAGTGGGTTGCTTTGAGTGCTCAGTCCGAGAGAAAATCTACAAGCAATGCATCTGCTGTAAGTAACAGAACTTTCAAATATGATACCAGTGCTGAATGTTACCATGGTACACGTTTACATGCCAGCAATATTCAAAGTATTTTAAAAGTATTCATGGTATATCTGAAGGAAGATTAAAAAAAAAAAAACCAAACCACGTTTTTTATGCAAACTTTAATTTTATTAGGCAATAAATATAATAAATAAGGAATATCATCATAAATAAGTTGATTATTATAAATATGTTTCAATTTCTGAAAATTACAGCTGAATAAATAAAACAGTTAAGACAAATTACAGTTGAGTGTTCGGTGGTTTGAGAACATTTTGGTACTACGATGTAGCTTATTTTCTAGAAATCTAGATGTTTAACATGATGGCTTAAAAGAGACTGACAACATCTCGCTAAAACGTGATGTATAAGAAACTCTGTGAAATATTATGCGCTTGGTTCCTAAAAAAAAGCCTCGTACCACCTTGCAGGATATTGACCCTACTATTTTTTCTCCAAAACATCCTTAGGTGAAATTTATACCCCAAGTGCCGGAGGGCTGGGCGCTTTACAGCGAGCTCTCCGGAGAGGTCAGGTAGTTCATCATCCTGTTGATGGTGACCGTGCGGATTCGGAAGGCGTGAAGGATGCTGCAGAGCCTCATCCTCTCCTTGAAGGAGGTCAGCCCCGCGCCTGCCGGCGCCTGCGGCACGCTCCTGCTGCTGGTCTTCAGCGCCTGGGAAGAGGTAGGGGCGTTACAAATGATCACCAGAAAGCGGCTAAAACAAAAACCTCTTCGGATTTTTCAGCCCCCGCCACCATGAGTGATAAATGGCAAAGCTTAGACATAAGAGTGTATTCTCACAAATGAAAAATTTGAAATATTTAATGATATAATTAACGGACTTAGGATGTGCAGCTGTACTTCCCTTGAGACAAAAATGTCCATTCATACGCAAAGGCTCTTTCTGCCCAGGGATAAAGATGCTTTTTTAATAGTAAGCCTACGGCCGGCTTTGCCTAGCGACCCCTCAGACTGGGCTCATCTGCCCGTGGCCAGAATCTCCAGGCTATCGGGAGATGCTGTGTCAATACAAAGGCAATTAACTTTTTTTTTAAGTAGCTTTTGTTAAACAAATGAACAAACAAGCTTTTAACGTCTATTCCCTGTACTCGCTAACAATATTTATCAAAATTCATACGTCCTACTTCCAATTCAGTATACCAGGTGTATCACAGTTCAGTATTTGGAAGAGAAATAGAGCGATGTCCCTGTGTCCTTTTACTCTATTTTTGAGTTCTCTGAGGACCTGGCAGCAAATCCTGTACCCCATCTCCTTGCGAGAGCGGAGCAGTGTGAAAGATATCTGAGTCCTGATGTGTTGACCACATCGGCAAGGCAAATACATGAAGTGAGACACATAGTTCACAAGAATCGAGTCCCTTCTGGGAAAACCAGTAACAGACAACTTTTTAAATTTTCAGATGAAAGAAAGGTCACTGTTTGACTGACTGCAGAAGGGAGCATGCTGGATTAAAAACTCTGGCTGAAGACAGGAATAGTAGAAAGGAAGGAGACAGAAATACCTACTTTCATCATTTCATCAATAGTTGCCAGCACCTCTTGATCACCGAAATTCTTCAGCTCTGCCCTGTAGGCATTCAGATCCTCATAGATGCCCTGCAGGCATTGAGTCTGCAAAAGTCAGAATTATTAGCAAAGGTGGGAACCTGTCATTACATGCTTTAAACATACAACAAGCAAAAGAAGGGGTTCTTTTGGGAAACTTGCAATTTACCGTATCAAAAGTAGATCTTTCCAGTACTGGACAGTTTCTAGTCTGCAAGTTAAAGAAGAAATGAGACATGGTGATTTTTGTGGAAGTGTGAGTTACACAGCTCTTCCATGAAAACATGATGCTGAAACTTGACAGAATTTTTTTTTTTTTTTTTTTTTTACCCCTGGATGCTTAGATGTGCAAGCTTTTATCGTGTTGATTTGATCCTTCGTGATATCTTCAAGATCAACCTCTTCAAGGGTACATTCAAATCCCAGCGTACCCAGCTCCTGTGTTAAAAAAAGGAATAAAAAAGGGTCATTGACTCAGCTTCACAGTACTGTGTCGAGATATATGTGTGTATATATATATATGTAAATACACACAATTATAAGCAGTGCATCACAGCTATCTGCACTTAACTGAATCCTAGGAATGAGGGTCTGTGAGGATTATGGTTAAATACAAAAACTGGCAAATAGGCTAAGACTGAAATGCATGTGGCAGTTGTGTTTAATGGGAATAAGCTCAGGCTTTGCACAGATTTACCTGTTGTTGCGAATTGCACCGCCGCCATTACTTTAAATTGTTCTCTCAGACGTTGAATCTATGGAGAACTTTATGTCGCTATAGCTTCAAATGTAAAGTATCTCTTAGAAAGTGAAAAATTACTAATACCGTCTGCACAGACATTTAACAGTGCTCACTGACCCCCTGCAAGTGGGGGACCAATGCACCTATTTATGGTGGGGGTTTTTGTGGTTCTCTGAGATGAAGCTTGCAACAATAGCAGGGAATTTTAGCAAAGAAAAAAAAAAAAAAAAATCCCCTTGGCAATACTGCCAGGGAGCTTTAGTGTGGAAAGTTGCTACAGCGCTAAACCAACGGCACCAGCAACAACATGCAAACGCAACGACAAAGTCGGGAGCAAGTATTTCCTGAGCCAGCTCTGCAGGGGCCTTGGAGAAAGAGCACGTTCAAAACCGAGAGCGCTCCGATGAGCTGCTGGTGCGCTGCTGGCGCCGCTAACGGTGCGTGCGTTTCTGTGGGGCTGCAGTCAGTAAGGGCTGGGAAGGATGCCTGAGCAAATCCCCATCCTAAAGGGCTGGTCAGGGAGGCACAAAAGCAAAGACCAGGTACGGAGTCTTCAAGGGAGTCTGCAGAGAGCTTCCATGCGCCTGGGTACCATCGCCTCCTGCCTGGGACCATCGCTGCTCCATCACTGCCCTCCCAGGTACCATCACCTCCTGCCTGGGGACCATCACCAACCCATCACCACCCTCCCAGGTACCATCACTGCCTTCCTGGGTACCATCACCAACCCATCACTGCCCTCCTGGGTACCATCGCCTTCTGCCTGGGGACCATCACTAACCCATCACTGCCCTCCCAGGTACCATCACCTCCTGCCTGGGGACCATGACCAACCCATCACCACCCTCCTGGGTACCAACACTTCTGGCCTGGGTACCCTCACCAATCCATCACCACCCTCCCAGGTACCATCACTGCCCCATCACTGCCCTCCTGGGTACCATCACCTCCTGCCAGGGTACCCTCACCAACCCATCCCTGCTCTCCTGGGTACTATCACCTCCTGCCTGGGGACAATCACTGCTCCATCACTGCCACCCCAGGTACCACAACCTCCTGCCTGGGTACCCTCACCAACCTACCCCTGCCCTCCCGGGTACCACCATCTCCTGCCCAGGTACCATCGCTGCTCCATCACCTCCTGCCCAGGTTCCATCACTGCTCCATCACCGCCCCCCAGGTACCATCCCCTCCTGCCCGGGTACCATCACTGCTCCATCACCACCCACCTGGGTACCATCACCTCCTGCCCGGGTACCATCACGGCTCCATCACTGCCCCAAGGTACCACCTCCCCTGCCCAGGTACCATCACTGCCCCATCACCTCCTTCCCGGGTACCATCACTGCTCCATCACTGCCCCCCTGGGTACCCTCACCAACCCATCCCTGCCCTCCCGGGTACCAGCTCCCCTGCCCGGGTGCCATCACTGCTCCATCACCGCCCCCTGGG